GGATCAATGGAAAGGGGGTGGGGGTATCGGAGAAAAAGTTCGCATGGTGCAGTACGTGTACAGTCACAACCGAGCAAAACGATGTGTTTGCCAAGATAGCTCGATTTCGTTTTCCATGTGCGGGTAATTTATATAGTCACAGCGGGGGAGAGGTGTACAGGGCAAGGTGCGGGTATTAGAGGTAACCAGGGTGCATCGATAGAGCTGCGGTACGAGGGAAGGAAAAAGGTGGGATGTTTGGATGTGTGTGGGTGAACAAAAAGGGGTGAGTAAAGTGTATTTTAGGAGGAGGAAGAGGTACTACTTGTAGAGGAACACGGGGAAAGAGTTACTTGGCCGCGACACGCGATTGCCTCTCTGCATGTATGTATGTATCGCTTGTCGCGAATGTGACAATAACACGTAACTTGTATGTACACGCTAGAGGCAATAACTTCGCAAATCACTGCCCAATGCTCTTACAAGTGAACACGCGGACGTAGAGTCTAAGAAAAAAAAAAAAAAAAAAAAAAATTATCTTTTAAAACTTTGAGATTAAAAAAAAAAAAGGTAACGCACGGAGTTTTTACATATAGGTAGAATTTTTGTCAAAACATTTCGAGCGGCCCTTCAACATTAATGCCATTGCAGCCGTGGCAATCACCTCAATTTTAACTGCATCAAAAATAAATCACGGTTCGCTATGGAGAGCTCCAGAGCTCCAATGAACAGGTGACACACTCTCCTCTCCTCTGTTATTTATTTTTATTTTTTTATTTTTAACGAACTAAATTAATTATCAGGGTTGAATTGGTTGCAAGCAAACAACAACCGTTCAAACGTCATCGTTTTTCAACTCAATCGTGCTTCCACATTTGGAAAGGTTCAACGCGGTTGATTCGGAGCTAAAGGTAAGATGTCGCGGTATCATCATTTGGTGATGTGGAACACATGGAAGCGATTGTCAGCACCGCAATTTGATTAATGATAAACTGCCGCTGTATGAAAATGATTGATTTGACTGGGGAATGTCCTAAGGAGATTTACGATGCGCTGGAACGTGGATTTTTTTTTTTCAATTGTCGAGGAATGCAAGAAAAACACTCGGATGTATCCGATCACGCGCAGTTTCCATTGGTGTGAAAGGTAAAATAATTTTTTATGTAATAAACATGTGATTAATACATATTGCACATTGTAAACTGGAGCATGTAATAAACATAGTATCGCGAAAATAAATTACATTGGGGATGTGCATCAAAAGCACGGGGCGCGTGTGTATAAATTTCGCCGCAACTTAGCATCGTCAGCAACGAGTTGTTGGCACTGTTATGCGTGTATTAAAAACTTAATGTTTTATTCACGAGCTGCCGCCGCCACCGTCACGGGGGATAAAAACGAGCGAAAAAGAGAGAGAGGAGTTGCGTTGCAAGCCAAAAAACGTTGTTGTCGTGCCACCGAGTGAGGGTAAAATTTTACACCCTCGTCGGGCTGAAATTAAAATTTATGATAAATTCATGAGCGTCAGTATAAGCAAACGATGAGTTGGTTTTCGAAGGAGTTGTACATGCCATTCTCCATGTAATTATATACTTATTCACAAGGTACGTTATATATGGCTATAAAAAAGCTTACTTTTTATTTAAATAGTGAAATTTTTCGCTATTTGCATGATAAACGAAACTTTCACTTGTCATCTGTGCTCAGCAAGTGTAACTGTATTTTCAAAACGTTTTATCTTCGATCCAATGGAATACTTCAATTTGATCAAAGGGAGTTGTGAATAGCCTGTACAAATATTATTTTGGGTGTCACCAATAATTACTTAACTGTAACTAAATGATTAGTAAAACCTTAAGTAGTATGGAAATGTACAGTCAGTATTGACTATTTCGTATTGAAAATCTACTATTTCGACAAGTTAAGTATGTACCTATAACTATCACAAGTCACGTCATGAGAGCCAAAAACACGCGTGTATCGCTCTTGGAATTAATTACCCGCGGTTATATGTATAAGTTTGACTCGGAAACGTCAACTGCTGTGAATACTTGTACACACGTATTAACGAGAGTTGCAGCGTTTTACTTTACCGCTACAATGGGATTTACTTAAGAAAACGCTTTTCCGAACAAAATGCAGCAATCTTTTAGATCTCGAATTGCATCGGCCCCGAAAGTTATTGCGAAATTTCTCTCTCTCTCTATCCCCCGTCCTTTTTAATCATCTCTTGCGTCACAGAGCCCGGGGAGTCGCCTCGAGCTTTTTTCCTTCGAATGCACACGGAGGGGGGCAATTTCGACGAAAATCCCACAGACGAGGGTCGTCGCAACCGAGCACAAACAGTAGCTCTGTATACACCCGTTGGTGTGGCGAACAATCAATAATAAACTGCGTCTTGAGCTCGTTTACCACGTATTGACGTTTTGGCGTTTGAGACGATGAGTGAAAAATCACGACGTACGGAAAAACGAAGGCATATAGCACCGACCGCAAACAATTAAATTGATCCACGTAAAGGTTTCGGGCACTACGACATTTTGCTTTTGCTTGCACAAACCTTTTGCCAACTGGTACATGTAACCTGTATACCGCAGCGAAGGATGCAGTTGCGGCACCGCTGGCATGTTCTACTGTTTACCCGCGTCAGGGGGGCGATATTGAAAAATTCACATCTGTACGCGTGTGTAAGTGCACGTAAAAATATCGCCCTGCACGTTTGGCGATTTGTGCGCTTCAGCGAGTATTTTTTTCAGGCCAAACTGATAAACACGTGTTTTGACGCGGAGTTTCGAAAAACAAGTGGATAAGACGCGCGTTGGCTTACTCATATACAATGTATACAGGGTACTCTCGGCTCTTGAAACTTCATATGTATATATTAGTAGGCGATCGCGGTGCAAGTTTGGGCCGATCAACTTATCTAATCTCATTTGCGAGAGCTCGACTCTTCCACCCGATTGCTCTTACCGATCTTCGAGATCAAAGTCCACTTTTTCCCCTCAACTTCGCGGGTGACGCGCGAAAGGGCTGAAAGCTCCCGCAAAGCTCGTCGATCGATCGTCCGTTTCGCATGGGTTTCCAGTACGAATAAAATGACGTACAGCCACAACGGAACAGCACGTTATCATATACTCGCGTTGGTGGCCACATGCAAAAATATATATATATACTATTGAGGAAAAGATGTATACGCACGTGCATAAATTCCAACAAAGCCGAGGAAGCTCGTAAAAGCTCTGCAGACTTTTTGATGCCGAGGCGCCATGGGAAAGTTCATGCAGTGTGCGTTTGTTACATATGTATGCGTATAGGCTTTACAACGGAGTTTGCGCTTTTATTTTACATTTTGTCCCTCGCACGTGTTGTAAAAAAAAAACAAAGAGTTTGAATCAAAAAACCTGCAGCGTCATCACGACGAATGGAGGCGGAGATGAAAGTAAAAAAAAAAAAAAAAAAAAAAAACCTACCATCTTGACGAATGAAAACAAGTGCTTGGATGCATACATATATCGGTAGAGCAGCCGGGAAATCGAAATTAATAATATAAGGTACGTTGAACCCTCGGCGTGTCCCCGTACCTTTCTCGTTGTACGTATACTATATGTATAGAATGCACGAGATCACAAACTACTGCCGTTCCAAAGGCCTGACGTCCACACACATTTATGTATGATCCTAAGACACGAAATTTATCGGAATCGCGATGGCTGTTGTGCACTGCGATCGATCGATCGGTTCGTTTCTCCCCTCCCCCTTCCCCCGCACTCATATATATANGGCAAAATAACATAGCTTTTAGGAGAATGAACATGGAAATTTTTTTTAGCTTTTTAAGCTTAACTTTTGATGAAGTGAAACGTTATAATTTTATACATTTTCTTTTTTTACTTTCAGCTATTGTAAGATTAAAAAAAAATTTATTCGTCTCCGAGTGGAAAATTAAGGTTTCCTTTTTTTTTTTTTCGTGCTCTCATCGAGTAGACGTATATTAATAATACGTGTGCACACGGGGTACGATCAAAAAGTATAAATTGTGTTTCCTTCACGTCGCGGTAGTTTTGCCGTTCGCACGATCGAGCTTGCTTTTTTATTTAGTTGATTTAATTGGTAATTTTAACGTTTGATTATTTTTTTAATGCGGTGACGAGAGATCGGCAATGTCATGTGGTAAGTATATTAAAAAAAACCATTTCAATGGGTACGATAATGCAATATTGCATACTTGAAATCGTTTGCATGAGGGCGATAATATAATTTTGTGTACCGATGGAGTTTTCCTTTTTTCTCTGCTTTTTCTCACTGCGAAACAAGTATGCAATCGCAAAAGTGCATTTTTAATATTTTTTTTTTTTACGATGTACAAAACAAAACAAAAAACAATTGAAACTGTGAAGTGTTCTTTTTTTTGTTTCTTCTTCTGTTCAACCACTAGGTACATTTTATTTGCTCAATGTTGCGATGCAACAATGAGAAAAAAAAGAAAAATTGAAACTTTGGATTGGTAATAATAACGCTTACTAATAAATAATAATAAAACAAAACTATCTGTATACCTCAAACCTTTCTCTGTTTTTCTGTTTTTTATCTTTGAATGTGTTGTTGTTGATATTTTATTCGGGGGGGCACTTATGTAAACGTATACGCATAAACTCGATTCATCCAACGTAATATAAGAAATGAAAATCCTTTTTTCAAATGAAAAAAAAAAAAAAAAAATGAATAAATAAATAAAACAAATAAACAAAAATCTGTATACAACTGTGTGTTTGTTGTTTGAAAATTACAAACTGTTTGTTATAAAAAAATTAATAAAAACGTATACATAATCATATAAATATCTTGCTTGATAAACCTTGATCATCATCCTAATCATTATTATTAATCATCGACAGTCATCGATATGTTTGTGCACATACATGATAATAATCATAATAATAATTATTTTTTGGATAAATATAAGTAGATAATAAATGCATAAGCTACAATTGACAAAGAGATAATAGCGTTAGGAAACTTACATAGACCTCTTCCCATTGCGAGACGTATCGGACCAGTCTCGATAATCGCAGTAACCTAACGAGTGACAGGAGTTTAGCTAGCCTGAGAATCCTTAGGGCACGGCCAGCGTGCAGTATCTGGAAGGACTCGCTGAAATCCTGAAACTGAGGTACACATCATTATTATCATTTTTTTCGTTTCTTATTATCCTAAACCAATTAATCAATGTGCCCCAGCTGATCCCGAAGAACCCAGTCGATATATATATATATATTATGTACTTTGAGACGTATTCCGATGAAAGTAACACCGACACGCGAGCACAACATGCTCTCGAATCTTCTTGGAAGAGAGACGTGAAAATTTTGCACGAGAGGGGTGGGTCTGGTACACACGAAATGTGTTTGCAAAGTGCACAGGTAGAGGGTAGCGAAAGTAATTTTGACGATGCCAAGGTCACGGAATCCTTAGGAATACACTCGAGAGAGGGAGAGAAGGATTGGCGAGGAAATTCAAGGAGCAGCAGGAGTTTGTTTTTCAAAGTGCTCGGGTGTGCACGCGTACGTGCCTTTTTGCTTTTTTTCAATCATCGACGATTTTAATGATTCGCTGTAAGAGTTTAGACTGTTTTCAAAGAAAAAAAAAAAAAAAAAAGAAAAAAAAAATCACGTGGAACAAAAAAAAGTAGAGAAAAAAAGGGAGCAGCACGGGCTTACTTGATTAAATATAAGGAAAATGTAGTCGAGCGGTATGGAGGAGATGAGGTCGAGAAAGAACCACGTCCTTAGGTAGTGCCTCGCTATCAACTTCGGGTCCAGTATCACCTGCTCGGCGTTGTCCTGCTGCATTATACCTGAAACGAGCACATTTTATATATTCCTTTTTCTACTTTCCTTCCTGTCCTCGTATTCACACACATACTGTTTTTAATTAGCTTATTAGGGGGAAAAAAAAAGAAAAAAAAGCATCCACGTACTGCTGATAGTGTATATATACCATTCACAACCCAAAGATCGAGAATTCAGAAGCGATGCCGATGTGCCCTCGGCTCGTTAACGCGACCTCGTTACACTTTGGGCGCTTAAGCAAGTATACCTCGTGCGCGCGCTGAGGTTACAATTTTGGCTCCACCGCCCGTGCATTATCCTGACTCCTCCTCCTTTAGCGAAACGACAAACAGAGAGCCATCTCCTGATTGGCTTTTCGTTTATCTTCTTTTTTTTTTTTTTTTTTTTTTTTTTTTTTTTTTTTTTTTTTTTTTTTTTTTTTTTTT